AGACATTCTACTATTTATTTTGTGTTGCTGGAATCCTTATGTTATAATATTATTAGTTATGAATTAATGTGACATGTCTATTTTTAAACACGTGGCATGTGTCAAACATGAAACCCTAATTGAAAAAAAATTAACATGTAGAAACCTAATTGTACAAATCTTAAAAAGTAGGGACATTTTTTTTATTTGAAATTTGTGAGGACTAAAAAATTATAAATAAAGCACTAAATTATAAAAAAAAATATTTATTTTAAGGATCAACATAGTTTTTTGAATAGTAAATGAATAAAATAAAATATTTTGACAAATTATTTTAGCAAGTATTAAATGGGTAATAAATAGATGGGTATTAAAAAGTGAAAAATAAGGTTGCTTTCTCAAAAAAAAACTTGATGAACATATTTGTACTCTATTTTTTTTTTAATTTAGTCAAATGTTAGGTTAGTTTTTTTTATGTATTTTATTATTTTAAAATTATTATAATATTTGTAATTACTATTTAGATTTTTACCGTAACGGGGTCTCACATATGATATGTCTCACAACTTTGAAGACGAGGTCTTAAAAACACAATAACATAGAAATTAAAAAGGAAAAAAAATAATTTGATGTCTATATTTTTTGAATTATTTTGATTCAAGCCTCATTTTTTTGAATTATCTTGATTAAATCTCTCTATTTGAGTTTCATGTATAACACATGTCACACATTAAAAAATGGATGCATCTCATAGACAAGTGCGTCATCTTACAACTAACGATAACGATGTTATAATGGATGATTTCAAATAATACAAAAATAAAGAATAGAATGTCTCAATAAAAAAAAAAACAAACAAGATTTCAATCAAAATTCGAAAATAAAGATATAGATAAAACCTAAATAAAAAAAAATTACTTCGCTGCGACAACTCATAACAAAAATCCTAAAAGAGAGAGAGAGAGAGAGAGAGAGAGAGAGAGAGAGAGAGAGAGAGAGAGAGAGAGAGAGAGAGAGAGTGTGTGTGTGTGTGTGTGTGTTAAGGTAAATTATAATGTTATATAAAGAATATAATAGTCTATTTTTATCTTTTTTTCTTAATATCAATACTCTCAAATATCATCATGGATGCATTAAAAGTAAGATTGATGTTACTTAGTACACTCAAACTCCACGAATTAAAAATCAATGATCAAAGGAATCATTTACATAAATTGCTTCTATGGGACCTAGCACCATTAATGTGGAGAGAAAGTTATGGATTTTTTTATTCATTAGCGGCCCAAGTTCACCTACCAAATCATGATGATAATAATAATTATTATTATTACAAGTCCGTAATGATATGAAAAAAAAATATGGACATGGGTTTCGAGCTCATATCACCCCGCATGCCACCTTAAAATATTAAATTGAGCTCAAAGCTCAAATTCGGAGCTAAATCTGTAAGAAGAAAAAATTATTAGTACAAAAAAAAAAAAAAAAAAAACTCAAACCACATAAACAATAAAAATAAAATAATAGTAAGAAAAAAAAGACTCGTCATTAGAAAAAAGTCATCTCAAGTTCCGAACATGCTTCATCTAGACTAACCTAGACTAACATCATATAAAATAAACACTAAAAATGCAAGACATAAAAACATGTAATAAAATCATAGATCATATAAAAATGACTTCACGAAAAAATAAAATAGCCAATAGGCCTCAACTAGGTCATTGACCTATAAATTCAAATTTGACTTATTTTATTTTTTTTAAAATTACTAGCCTATTGCTAGCTTAATCATTGACCGACAGTTCCTCAAGAACTTACTATATGGAAAATAATATGCAATATATCACCCTTAAACCCCTTATTTTCCGAAACAATAACAATAAGTATATACAAAAAAATAGATAAAAATAAGACAAACCTTAAAAAATATACTAAATACTTCCTAACCCAATAAAATCACATAGACACATTAGAAAATTTGAATTGAAATCATTTCACATCTATCAAATAACGTCAATAACTCTCAATTCAAGTCTTTTCAATTAAGCTCAAATTAAATAATTTTAATTCAATTAATCATACCAATCATATGTTAATCACATAATTGATATCGAGAGAATACGAATCAATAATATAATCATGCAATCCACAAAAAATTGAATGAAAATTAAACCAAAAAAATGTTGAAGTGTAGGTATATAATTACCAAATCAGAAATTCGAGGATTGAACTAGACACAAGCAAAAAAAAAAAAAAAAGGAAGAGAGACAAAACTGGCACATGTGGCAGGTGTTCTAGATATTGTTTTGAGCCGCTCGCATGTATGAGGGAGCATTAGATGTTGGATGGGTGACGGACTGGTGGCGCTGGATTGGTCTCTTCCTTCCGATCACAGTAGTATAGCACATGTCTGATTTCATCGATGGGAGGAGCAGCAGTGACGCTGTGAACTTTGGTTGATGTCTTTGGCTTTTTGGGTGTATTGCAGTTTTTTTGGATTTTGTTTTTTAGACTGCTAGGTTTTTTTATTTTTCCTTAACAAAATAGAAAACGAAATCAGTATAGCAAATTGCGACCAAATTTAGAAGTAGGAAACTACCTTGTTTGGACTTGAGTTCTTCATGAAAGTTTGAGCCCCGATTTTTATATTGACTTTGGGCTTTTGAATCACCTAATTTGGCCTCCAAAAGCCCAAGTTATATTCTATTTAAGCTCTAGTGGTCTGTTAGAATTGTTTTAGCTTTCAGATCTAACTTTGCACTAATGCCTCGAGGGCCAAACAACCTCGGATTTTGACCAATTAGATCTTTCTAGAATCTTTGGGATGTTCTCTACAACTTTACTGAAGATCACTTTTAATTCCAGACTCATCTTTCATACCTAAAACCTGTATAAATCCTAAAAGGCCATTTACACAAAAATGTTGAAAATTTCACTTTAAAGCATACTTTTCTAAAACTTTCCACCTAATGTTCTATTCATTATTTTTAATATAAATGAGCACAATAAGACATTAAACATGACAAACAGACCAAGTGAATAGAGAATAACTGTATACAAATTATGCCTCTATCACATATCTAACCAAAGGTAAAAAAAATTATAATTTTTAATTAAAATCTTGTATTTAAATAATTCTTCTTTGTGTTTTTTTATATTTTTTCAATAAAAAAATATATTTTTTATGCATTGATTCTTAAATAAAAGTTTGTAACAACATAAATTGAAAAAAAAATTATTTAAATTCAACAACATGCCATCAAAATATATTTTTATGAGATTGTATCACATAATAATTTTGTTTCTCTCTCTTTTGGGCATCTAAAGACCAAAAATGGAAAAAAAAAAAAAAAAGAAAAAAGAAAAGAAGTTCTAGACCAAAACAAAAGTTCTTAAGATATAAGGACCAAAGTGAAATCTTTTGATCAAACAGTGAAATTTATCGTGCAATTGAGTCTGAATCCACGTTATAAGTCTGAATCCACGTTGTAAATGGTGCTTCCTACCCTAACACAGTAACTTATGGTTCTCTTTTAGTATTTAGTATTGTTTTAAATTATATTTTCAAGAGTTATTTCGTCATTTTATAACATTTCCACTAAAAGTGAACTCAAATTTTTAACTTTCTCATAGCTTGAGAAAAAGTGAAAAAAATGCAAATTACAAGAAAAATAGAAGAGATAAAGTACAAGGATTTCAAAGCACATGATCCAAAATATAGAGGATGGTGGGGTAATTAACTCTTGTTTAGGCCGAGAAAAGCTTTACTAAAAAAGACAACAGGATTTAATTGCAGGCAAAAAGCGGACAGGGACCACAAAATGGTCCGGTAAGACGCATTCGGCCGAGAAAAGCTTTACAGCTCAATTTAGGCCGGCCTACACTTTCGAAGGCTTTCATCTCCACTGGGGCCGAGCCCTCGTCCGATTTCTTCGTCCAGTTTTATTTAATTTCTTGCCTTTCCTTGCTTCCACCATTCGCATATCGGCGGACTACTCAGGCCGAAATAAAGTCCTCAGCATTTCCAGCCTAAAGCTGTAGGCAGCAGATCAATACTGTGCATGGTTAGGAGGTAAGCCAACCTGTTTGCAACAAATATACATCAAAATGCAAGGGTGTTATGCTAATTTCATGGAGAACTAAACCTACACGTTAAACTTCTTTATTCCTCATTACCCATCTTCATCATTGTCAATTTGTCAGGGACATTGTTCTTGCTTCCTGGAAATTTTGCTGATGTCCGATACAAATGTATCCATCACTACATACAGTCTACTTTGTTGAACGATTCATTTGATGTACTCATTTACAGTTTACAGAAATCATGACACATGTTTAACAATCAGGGTCTTTCTGACTTCCAGCTTTTAAATAGTAGAATGTGAGCAATTTATTAGCATCAGTAATGCATCAAACAAAATAAACCCATTCTCTCCCCAGTCAGCTTAAATTAACACAAACTTGCCGTTACAATTTACATGATAATACCTTATGACACTGCAAACCATGACAGCAGTGTTGGATCCATTGTAGGGAAAAATTACAGGAGGATTTACTTGAGAAACAGGAATTTAAAGATCTTTGCTACAAACCAGTGGTTGAAAATAAGAGTTAACAAAACAGGAAGAAATGCCTTAAGCAGTTCTGGAGAATCAATTATCCACCTTGTAAGGTCTCATTATTTAAAACAAAAGGTGGGATTCCTGCTCTAATATCTTGTTACAAACATCAACTATTGTGGGCGCTAATGTTGAAGGTATAGACAACAAGCTTTAGGAAACAAACCAGCCAATCCTGACGCAAGCAACCATGACCTGAATAATGTCTTAAAAATTCACAAAATACCCATGCACCTCCTAAAGTGTGCCATCAACTGGAAGTATGAATTCCATTGTCGATGCAATACCGGAAAAAAAAAAAAAGGCCAAAGGCTCGAGTTTGAACTTAAGGAATCATCTAGGTTTTCCAAAAATGTGAACAAACATCCAAAGAAAGCACAAACCAGTTCCACAAATAGGAATCCATCAAGGATCCTCAGGGCCATACATCTTCTGAAGCAAAAAATCCTTGCGCTCGTCAGTTGGGAAACCAAAAAATGCTCTCCCACTTGCACCATCTTCGACAAGGAAATTGTAGGCTGTGTACCGCAAGGGCTGCTCAGTTCCTACCCTCATTAGTTCTTCAAACACTTGTTCCACCGAGTAAACACATTCAGGAGTTTTTCCAATAACAGCATTTCCCTCCCTGATTACATCTGCAACATCATTAATTGCTTCCTTAATGCCCTCGAACTGTCTCTCCCATTCACACGCCTTCCGCTTTCTGTTTTCCACAGATGTTGCAGACTCACCACATTCTCTATTGTAATGTACATGGTATACACGGATAGCATATGCTACATAGCAAATGACTTGAGCAACAGCCATTCGTCGCCTTTGATCCCAAGCCTCACACCAATTTTTTTCATCACTATCTTTGCTATTTTCTTCTCCCTCCATCTACAACAGATTTATTACGAAAACAGTTTAGTATAAAAAAAAAACCTAACAGAAACGTTGTCTATATTATGAACATAACCCTATTCACAAAACATCCACTAGTTTTAATCAAATGCTAAAGCACTGTACAATGATCAAACACAACCAGTGTATACACACACACACACACACACACACACACACACACACACACCACGGTCAACTGCTAATTTAAGCTCAAAGATCATACTACATTATTTCCAGAAATGCAAACTCAAATCGATTAAGACAGAGATTCCCTTTAATAATTATTGGGCAGCAATGAAACCCAAATAAGCAAATACCCGAAATAGCAACAATTTTATCAAACAGAACAGAAACATTGAATGTAAATGGACAAAAGGAGCTAACCGGGGATTATTATGAGTCGTTGACTGAGGTTTCTTCTCTTTGGAGAGTCTGTTGTTGTTCTTGCTGTTGTTGGGCTGTAAGGAGAAAGGGCTTGAATCCAATCTGAACAGTCAAATACCCAAAAGCCAAAGCACCTATCACCACTATACCTGACCTTATCGCATTCAGCTTCGTCTCTGCTTTCATACTCTCTTAACTTCTCCCCTTTCTTCTTCTCTCCTCTCTGCAGTCTGCAGTCTGCCCCGAAACCTCAAAAAGACGCCCGTTCTCTACCTCATAAACGACGTCGTTCTTGACCAAATGCTCACCCAACTCTTGCCCACGGATATGTAACTGTAAATTGCAATTTGCAATAATTAGCCAACACGTAACTTTTTTCCTCTTCCAGAAGGAACAAGGTTAAAAATCTTCGGAAGTTGCTATAGTTTATGAATTTGATCAAATTAATACATATATGAATAATTTAGTTAAATCAACCCTTAAGCTTTCAATTTTGAAATATATTAGACCCTCCGTCAACTCCATCCACCATGGAATATATGGTTGGCCAAATCTGTTAATTGACTCAAATTGACAGTGTAAAATATGTCACGTATGGTATAGTTGTGTATGGATGAGATTGACCACAAAGGATAAATAAAACGTAATTTGAACATTAATTCAATGTCAATTAAAAATTATAGTCTTGTAGCAGTCAAAACTATTTTAGACTAACAAAATAATTAATAAAGTACAAAAACAAGAAAAGAAGAAGAAGAAAGGATAGAACAACTTAAAATTAAAAATAATTAAATATTTAATAGTTTTTGAACTTCTACATCATCCTAGAGCCTAAAGCTAAGTTGTTACCAATTATAGATTTTTGAATTATGGTGGTGGTTATACAAATATTTTATTTTAGTACAATAATATTTTTTTAGGTAAATTTAATGTTGCAAATTGAATTCTTAGTTTCTATTTTATTATTTGTTTATACTTTTTCTTCAATTAAAACTTTTAAGGATTTTGAGATTTTCAATCAACACCTTTTATTCTTTGTGATTAAATAAAAGAAAATCAATCTCTTATATATTGCAAATTGAATTCTTAGTTCTTATTTCATTATTTGCTTATACTTTTTCTTTCATTAAAAATTTTGAGAATTTTGAGATTTTCAATCAACACCTTTATTCTTTGTGATTAAGTAAAAGAAAATCAATCTATATAATAAAGGAGTAGAAAAGAAAGATTCTTTGTTAATTAACTCATACTTTTATTTTTATTTTTCCCTTTAAACATTTATGTTTAGTTTTCTCAACTTATAAGCTTAAATTTTCATAAATCATCACACGTGTGCAATAATCAGGAGACATTAAATTGGCTAAATAAAGATCTGTGGTCAGTTTAACGAAATAGATGGATGAAAGGGTTAGTATATCCAAAATCACAGTATGAGGGTTGGTTTGATCAAAATAATTGTATAGAGGCTTAAGTGTCCAAATTCATGATATAAAGGCACCTCCTGTGATTTTTAGCCGTAAGAATAAGAATCCACCTCGCTGCTTAGCTCTCACTCCTAAAAAAAAACAATCAAAATTCAGCTCTGATCAAATCCGGTGAGCGGCCTATCTATATCCCATCGACGAAGTTAAATCTTTGGAATTCATTGATTCTGGCCTCAGGTAGATTTTTTTTTTTTAATTATAATTATTGTCTTGATATACTTTTTCATCTTCTTAGTATAATTCTTTTACATGAAATTGTTTCAAGTCTCAAATAAATAGTGGTAGGTGGTCGCAGTTGGTGATGCTAGTTAAACATGGCATGAATCACTTAACTGTATTAAACAGCGCAAGAAATCACAAGTTAGCAACTTCTTTAGCTGTTTTGAGAAGACAACAATTCTTGACAAGGGTTCTTGGAGTTAGAGGTGAAGACAGAATGCAAGACCCAAAATTTGAGGCTGATGCTGATAACATTTTGAGGGCCATTACTCCTGTTCTTGACCCAACTAGACATAAAGGTCAAGCAGGTAAAGCTCATAATAAAAATGCTGTTCTTTCTTTTGTTCTTCATGTCTGATACTCACTTTGTTTTCCCATTTTTTATTGTTTTATGTGTTTTATTGTCAGGGAAGATTGCTGTTATTGGTGGGTGTAGAGAGTACACTGGTGCTCCTTATTTTGCTGCTATTTCTGCTTTAAAAATTGTAAATTTCCTCACCATTTTTTCCCATTTTGCGTGATAATATTGTCTTCATTTAGCGAAAAAAAGTTCAATCCTTTTGCTTGTTTTTCACTGTTTCTTTTCTTTGCAGGGTGCAGATTTGTCCCATGTATTTTGTACAAAGGATGCTGCTTCAGTTATCAAAAGCTACAGTCCCGAGTTGATTGTGCATCCTGTTTTGGAAGAATCTTATAGTGTTGGGTATTACTTTTTACCTTCCCTTTTCATTTTTTTTTCTTTTATTGTAGTTTGGTTATTCCTATAGATAAGTCATAAACTTTGTTATTGAGCAAAATGCTTATTTGTTGTGGGGGGAATGCTTTTGTAGGGATAGGGATAAAGACCACATATCACGAAACGTTGTTGCTGAGGTTGATAAATGGATGGAGAGATTTGATTGTCTTGTTGTTGGCCCTGGCCTTGGAAGGGACCCATTTCTTCTGGTGTGATTTTGTTTTCCCAAATAGTTTCAATTTAGTTTATGAAGGTACATTTTTTAAACATTTCTTCTGGCAGTGGGATTGCATGGGAGTGGCTGTATTCAAGCTTTGTGGATTGATGCTAATGTTTTCTTTTATGGAATTCTGTGGCATGATAAGTGCATATCAATTACATTTTGCATTAGTCCTTTTGGTTCTGATTGATACATTCCCTCCATAAGCGTTGATTTGAAACTGAAAATTTCCTGCCATTTTATGTTTTATAATGTCAAAATGTTTCAGCTATTCCATCTGCATCCATGTTCTTGGGATTCCCTCATGGCATATTCTTAAATACATATCCTTCCATTTTAAGTTCTACCTCGTCATTGTTGTTGGTGTAAAATTTTTCTCTCTATCTCTGCAACATTCTTATACTCAAATGTTGGTAACAGGATTGTGTGAGTGAGATTATGAAGCAGGCAAGACAATCAAATGTTCCAATTGTCGTAGATGGGGTATTTTATCCGATTAAGTTATTTTCTTGATTGCACTGTATTTCTGAATTACTTACAGTAAGGGTAGTTACCTTGGCCATTTTGTGCTGATAAAATGGAATATTTCCCAGGATGGGCTCTTTCTTGTAACGAACAGTCTAGAACTTGTTAGTGGCTATCCCCTAGCTATCCTCACCCCAAATGTGTATGAATACAAGCGCTTGGTTCAGAAAGTCCTAAATTGTGAAGTAAATGATCAAGATGCTCACGGGCAATTACTATTACTCGCCAAACAGTAAGCTTTCTTGGAATTTCTTCAATTCGGTGTTAGATTGTTTCTCAAGCACGTGACCCTTATGCAGCATCTATTATATTACTATTTTTTAATGGATTGGTCAGTGAAATTGATTATTTGATTGGCATATGGTTAAATTATAAACTTTTGTTTTCACCTTCCTCACCCATTTACTCATTTGTGAAAGCTAGTCAGCTAGGTGTAGATAATTCTGGTTTACTGTAATTTTTACAGCACATTAATACAGAGGCAATGATGGTATGTTTTTGTAACTATCTATAGTCCCTACTTCTCTCTTTGGCAGCTTTCTTGTAGTGCATGATACAAGACTATAACGTCCAATTCTAGATTGTGCTGGAATTTGTTGGCCATGTCCAAATCCTCTATTTGCATATTGTAAATTTCTTGCATTGGGTTTCTATAAATTTTTCCTAGTGATTGGATATACTTTAGCATTATGGAACTTCTTTAATGCAATGTATATTTATTGTTAGGATTGGCGGAGTCACCATCTTACGGAAAGGAAAATCTGACCTTGTCAGCGACGGTGAGATAGGTATTGCTATAACTAATTTATTAGTGTTGAGCAGTTATGTTTATGTGTTATTTTCTATCCTTTAAAATATCAAATTGCTAATCTGCCAAGGCACATGCTCAAATAGCATTTGTTTTGTTATAAGGTTTGAGTTGAGAAATTTGGGTGCACTTTGGGAGAGTGCATCTCACTTAAATAAAAAATTGGAGCAAGCGGAATCATGCCTGCAATCCTCTTGAGACGAACATCTGTTAATGATTGCAGTGCTGATGGTGCACATATGTGTTAGCCTCACATACTGCATATGTTCCATCGAGTCCATTAGTTTATATTTGTGTTAAATACTTGACTATAGTGGATTGTTCAAATTTGGAACCGAGTCTTTATATTTTTTCGAGTGATCTTTTGGAAAGTTTATTCCAAATGTTATGTCATGACTTTATTTCTCGGTGCCTCTGGATCAAATTGGACCTTCTAATTTTCTTCTTGATCTTATGTGATTCACATGTTGTTACCAGGTTTTTAACTCACACTCCAAATTAAATTAAGCCTTGGCTCCCCTGTGGCTCATTTGCTGCTGCTTTTATTTATTTATTTATTATTATTATTATTCGTCTTTGTTTTAGCCATTTTCTTTTAAGGCTGTCGAAACTATGTTATTATTTTGATTCTAATCACTGTTGATTTATGCAGTCAAATCAGTGAGCATCTATGGTTCACCTAGGCGTTGTGGCGGCCAGGGTGATATCCTTTCTGGAAGGTGATTGATTATATTAAATTTTGGCACGTATTATTCATTGATTATATTAAATTTTGCTGCGAATTATATGTACTATTACTGATGTTAAATGCCACATTTTACCAAAGGGTTATGCTAGCACCTGTTAGCAAAATAGAGTTCGTCGAAGAAGTTTTAATGCTCCTTAACTGGTGCCTCCTGGAGCATTAAAACTCTATCAGCTGACTCTGTTACGCACCTGTACGTGCAATACTTCTCCATGATTAAATTGCACATTGTTGGGTAATTATGTTATTAATTTTTTTAAATACAGATTGTTAGTTATGTTATTAAGTTTTTAATGGCAAATATACCCTTAATTATAACTCACCTAAAATCAAACTTTTTCTAGAAGATCCTTAAAAGCTCCCTAACTGGTGCCTCCTGGACATCCGTTAGCTTTACCACTTTCGAAATGAGTACTGTGTCAGCATTTGTTTATTGGGAAAAAAAAAGGTCCCTTTTTTTTTTTTTTTGCATAGCTACTGTCCATAATTCTTTTCTGTCAGCTTCTGATCTCATTTTTCTCATGCTCACACTGTCCTTAATCTCTGGTATCATTGTATTTGTTTTGTAAGTTGCTAAACCAATTGGGTCACCATTTTCTCGTAAAATTATCTCATAAAAATTTGATGCATCTGTTTATAGAACTCAGATTTTAAAGTAAAAAATTATTATATCAATGTCACAGACTGACAGAAGTTATATAATGCACATTCCCTCTTATTGGTGCCAGTGTTGCAGTATTCTTGTCTTGGGCACGTCAATGTATCTTAGCTGATGAAGGGAATCTGAGCATCAGGTTGTGTTCTCCACCCATAACATTCCACAAAGACCACTGCATCTGTGGGGTGCTTTTTTTTTTTTTTTTTCCTTTTCCTTTTTAAGTGTTTGACAATTTATTTCCCTTTTAATCTTTATAGCCCAACAAATCCAACCATTTTGGGGTGCATTGCGGGGTCTGCTTTGTTGAGGAAGGCTGCATCACTTGCTTTTGAGAATAGAAAAAGGTCAACTCTGACAACTGATATTATTGAGTGCTTGGGAATAAGGTATAATTGCTCTACTGCAAGGATAGATTACCAGTGGTTAGAAGTGATAAATTGAAAACTAACGTTTTACCTCATTCTTGCAGTTTGGAGGATATTTGTCCAGCCTGTTGATGCTACTGATGGGAGTGAGGATTCAGAGGGAGATTTCCCTCAAGCCAGTTGCTTGTTGAAACTTGACTGGAATTTAGATATACTGTTTGCTTGTTAGGAAAGAAAACCTTTTGGAGTCCAACTGATGTCATAGACAGCGAAGCTTTGTCTACAAGCCTTTATCTTCCACACGAAGTAGACTTAAAATAAAAGAAGCTGCAATGTCTAAACATCTCATAGTAAGTGCCCTAGAAGCAACCCTAGCTTCTAGCAGATTTATGCTGTGACTTGGGGTAGTACATCGTATCATACCGTGAATGTCAAGGAAAAAGTTTTGACAAGAAAACTCTCTCTCACAATGACTGGGAGAGAGCTACTGCCAGTATATCATTTGATTAGTTTTACATGAGTATGTCTGATGCATGAAACTAATGATATACACAATGGCAGAAAAGGATTACACTATTAACAGACTACGTGTGATGTTGTTCTTGTATCAGTACTGTCAACTAGACAGCTACAGTCTTTTCCAATAAAGGGAATGGCAAAAGTGGAAGTCCAAGAACAATGTTATGCTCGAGCAGTTATTTTGCTGCAGAAATACTAACAACCCATTCATTTATAGTGCATGATAATTCTTGGGCATCAAAGTGAATCACTAGTTCCAGAACATCAATTGGATGAAGGTGGCCGGGTGGGGCAATGTTCATCTCTTAGGGCATTTAAAAATTTCCTGGGACCGAGTTCAGACCAGACCATAAGGGAGCGACTGCGAGGGTTTCCAATTAGTTTTAATCATCAAAAGAACTTGCAAGTTCCCAAGAAATTTTCAGATCATACGAGAGAGAGGGACTGCATGTGACTCCAATTTGGTACCTTTTGACCAATCAAAAGAATCTGTGTACAGTGGCAAAGTAGCAACTCATCCTGGAAATTTATAAGCAGAGGGAAAATAGATTGGAAGCTTTCATAAGGAAAATGACGACAAAGAACCGCAAAACCATAATTTTTTTTACAACCATATAGCTACCTGGTAATTTTATTGCTTTTGAGCAATGCTCCACAGAGGCGTTTACACTGGATTACTAGTAACAAATGCTCTCATACACAATTAAGCTTGAATTGATTCTGAAAATAAATATGGTAGTCAGTTTCCGTTTTAGTTCGCTTTTAATTGCAGAAATTATTACTCAAAAAAAAAAAAAAAAAGCACTGAAAGTTAAATTTTGTTTGACAAGAGAATTAAAATCGAAAAAAAATTCTGATTAATAAATTCAACTTGAAAATTACAACAAAAAAGAATACACATCAGACTTCATGACCTTTTGAAGTGGGAAAACTGACGAAAATTAATCACCACAAAACAGTGGCAACTATCTATGCAATCTCCAATGAAGTAAAACCACCATCGTTGCCAACGTGGATTTATGTACAGAATTGCTGCAATTGCCAACACGACAATTATGTAACACATTCCAAACCTAACATAGAAATTGTCCATGTCTATAAAGCAATCATCTTCTTCTCCTTTTGAACCATTAGGCACTGTCTGTGATGGTAATTCTGTTGGGCTGCAACTGTTTTGCAATGGAGGTCCATCAAGAAGAGGATTTCCATTGTAACTGCTTTCATGAAAAGTCCCAAACTGAGCTTTACTCTCAGGAGCTTTGCCTGACAAGTTGTTGTACGACACGTTGAAAACCTAAAGAGTGCAGTTCAATCAGCTGTGGAGGAATTCTACCATTCATGTTGTTGTAAGAAAGATCCAGACTCGCTTATCTTTTGTAGGTTTGAGAATGTGGCAGGGATGAATCCAGTGAGATTGTTTCTCGACAGATTTATTGTACGTATCTCACTTAAGTTTCCCAATTCTGATGGGATTATGCCGGTGAAGCTGTTGCTAGAAAGATCGATTCCAGACACAAGTTTATCAGCCTTTTTATATGGAGGAATTTCTCTTTGTAGTGAATTCGACTACTTCATCTACAATGGTGGCTGTGTAGCCATTGTCCCTACTCCTATACCCGTAACTTACATGTAGAACACTCTTATCAAGTACCTTACTTGTATTGAAAGCTAATTTGCCTATACAAGAAGGTATAGGACCAGAAAACTTATTTGCTTTTAGAAGGAGAAAGCTTAATGCTGAAAGACTTCTGAAATTTGATATGGCCGGGGCCGATAAAGTTGTTCTCCCTGAGAGATCTAACGCCACCAAGGAAGAATTATTAGCAAATGCATATGTCAAGTCACCACTCAAAACGATTTTTGCATAGATGAACATGCAGTATGTCTGGTGGGTTGAAGCAAGGTGGTATAGATCCCGACAAATTGTTCTCTGAAAGGTCAAAGAATTGAAGTCTGTCAAGCTTTGCAAAAATCTCTTGGAATTGTACCCTCCAAATGATTTTTGGACAAATGAATAGCAGTGAGATCCACTTTGGAATCCTGCCTGTGACATGGTTGTCACTAAAATCCAGCGCTTTTTAAAGATGATTGCATGATTGATGAATGGATCAACGGTATATCCCATATCCGTTCAAAAAAATTGTTGCCATCCATGTAGAAAATTGTAATGTAGATGAGTTGAAAATTGAGGGAATCGTTAACAAATGTACCTATGATAGATCTATGAGAGATGGAAGCCCAATCAAATATGATAAACTGTTGTCCTTAAATTTAAGTAAAGACTCCAGTTTCCTCAAACCCGTGACACATGCAAGTAGAGACAGAGAGCGTAATCAGTAACTTTTTTTTTTTTTTTTTTGTCCATAGTAGGTTCATTGAATTTTGAGCTATATAATAAGAGATGGTCTTCTTTTATTAGAGTATTACATCATAATTAAATAAATTAGAGTTATCAACACTCCCTCCACTGATTAAAGAAACTAATATATATATATATATACAGAGAGAGAGAGAGAGGAGGAGGATTAATGACATCATTCATCTCTCTACTCTTGATATCATTTAATGTGACAATTTTTTTTAATGTGATTTCTTCAATGGTTTTTCAGCTAATATTTCTAGCAAATGTGACATGTGATAACAATAAAAAGAATAACACATTTAATGGCATGTAACAGTAAATTGCCACGTAAAAAGAATAAAAGAATTTAACTAAACATGAAATGATAAGAAAAAATTACTTTTCATAATGATACGCTCATCATTTTATTTTCCTTACTTTCTCTCATTTTCTTGAGAAACAACCAACCTCAAATGGGATTTGAGTAACATATAGACGAAGCAAATCTAAGCAATTCACTTCTTTCATTTATTTCATTTAAAAATTTCACTCTAGTGACGGCAGCTGTGTTTCATTTTCCCAAGAGACCAAAAAGACCCCAACTCCTAATTTCTTGAGAAACAAACAGAATATAGGACACCAAAAACATCAAAAAAAAAAAAAAAAGTAAGCAATTAAACACACAAATAAGGAGTGTCCTATGAAACAACAAACTCCACTTTTCCTCTCTCCGTTTATTTTCTCGAGATCCAAACAAATCTAACGTTTCCTTACTAGTCCATTTTTTGAGAAAAAAATAGAAAAGGAAAAGGTACAAACCAAAATAAAAATAGGGAAAAGTTACAATGAAAACTCAATTCTATTTTCCATAACCAAACGACCTCAATATAATACTTTCTCTCGATAACCAAACAGAAAAACCAAAGAAAAATGCAAGTAAACAAAACAAAATAACTCTAATAAGAAAGTCTTTGTTCCATTCTCCTCCATTTCCTAAACCAAACAAACCGTATTACTTAATTTTTCTCAAAAAACAAAAAATAACTCCCAATCCATTTTCTTAACAAACAAATAAAAAAAAAAACCAAAATCAAAACAATAAGAAACATGAAACTTATTAATCCACTTTCTTGAGAAACAAATAGAAACCAAAAACCTAAAAAAAAGAAAGACCAAAACTCATTACTTTGCGAACAGTCACAATCATCAACCTCCTTAATTTCCAACAATAACAAGAATAGAATCAATCAATTTGGCTCCCTCAATATAATGCCTTTTAGCCTAATTAATACCAGCACTAGATTGTCCAAACACGAAATTATCTAGTCTAAAAATCAAGCCATACTTATCGGATTTAACACTATCCACAGTGGTTGGTTCAAGATCCATTAAAATAGCATGAGGCACAAACCTTTCACAATTAGCTTCATTATAGTAAGCATTAACTTGCTCAAGTTGAAGAGTTAAGTTTCTATGATATTGACCCTTTACGTCAATTTGGTGTTCTGCACAAAACACTTCCCAAAACGTTTCTCTTATTTGATTTCCACATCAATCTCTTTGAATGCGAAGGATTTCTCTCATTTTTTAAAGAAATTTTTAGGGATTTTTTTTTCTTTTCATTTCACTTTTAACAAATTTTATTTATTTATTTTGTTTTTTCATTTTTTTTCACGTTACAATTGTATTTGACATGTCATTTTTTTTTATCACATGTCACGTCTGTTTGAAAAACTACTTGGAAAACAATTAGAAGGGTCCCATTAGGAAAATTTAAAGAGTAGAGGACATGATAAATAAATAAAAAGAGTAGAAAGACCCCATTAAAAAAGTATCAAGAATCGAGGGACGAATTATGCGATTAATTCATATATATATTTTTTGTTTGAAAAATTAGTCGGAAAACAATCGGAGGGGTCACAATAGGAAAATTTAAAGAGTAGAGGACATGATAAATAAACAAAAAGAGTAGAAAGACCACATTAAAAAAGTATCAAGAATCGAGGGACGAATTATGCGATTAATCCACACACACACACACACACACACATATATATATATTCTTGCCACTCGCAATTTCTTTTACTACTCGCCTTTGTAGCAAGCAATTTTTAAGATATGTAATTCTTTTTTTCTCCATAAATTTTATTTTATTGATTAAAAAGAAAAAGTAATTCTAGCCATTATGGTCAAAAATTGATTATATTTTCATACATAGTTATCAATCTTAAAAACTAACAATCATATTGATGAAACAAAATAAAATATGAAT